TCTGGTTCAGCCTGCTCTCTCAACAGGACAGCAGAGGCAGATCTGTCCCATATTGTTCTCCAGAAAACAGTGTCCATAAAACCACAAGGAGTCAAAGCTAACCGAAGCAAACTTTTTATTTCTCTCAACAACCAGAAAATGTCAGGCACTGCTTTTAAAGCATGCAGCACCAGTGGAATAGAATTTATTTTATTTATAAAACAAGCAGAAGCCAATATATTTCAGCCTAGATCCGTGATGGCAAACCTGTGGCATGTTGTCATAGGTGGCACATGGAGCCATCTCTGCGGACACGCGAGTCATCACCCCAGCTCACTGCACATGCGCTCCTGCCATATAGGTGATTTTCAGGTCCCTGCCGCACATGCAGGAAATCCACACACATGTGGTGGTGGGGAGGTTGTCTGTGCATGCTCAGGGGAGGGGTGTGTGCCGCCCCCCTATTTTGGGCTTAACAGGCCTCCCTGAAACCTCCTGGGAACAAAAATGGGCCACCCCCCCCCAGTTTTGGTTCTAAGAGGCTTCTGTTTCAAGTAGTTTAATTAAAATGCAGTTAAAACAGTATACAAGCCATCAAGAATATAAGTCTATACATACAACAGGAACAAGGAGTGCTTCACAGGAGCAGATAGAGATAATAATTCTAGAGAGGCAGGAAATGCATCATAAAACAATGTAGACTAGATGAATGCTAAAGAAGAATAAAGCTGCATGCAAAGCAGACATAATACCTGTGACAGGCCTGCTAGGTCCAAAACAGGGCATTGGGGGGTTCCGTGCACATGCGCGGGGGTTGGATGCGCAGGACGCGGAGTACACGGGGGCATTGCACTATGGGTGTGGGCATGCCCGCCCGCACACGCTTTTGGCACCCCAGGTAAAAAAGGTTGTCTATGACCAGAGGCCACTCTCAAATCCCTACTATTTATTTCCCAACCAGGGAGGGGGCTAGCTGGTGTGTACATCGTTTTCCTGAGAGCCGACTTATTGCCTTCCTCTGTGCATCTGGGATTGGCCCCATCTATTCTTCCTCCTCACCCAGCTAAGGCCCTGAAAACAGCTGCCTCTCCACCTGGAGAATTTCATTCTCCTACTGCCTTCCTATAGTTCACAAATTGAGTATAAAGTTGACATTTTTTGTAAAACCGCCAAAAAGAGTATATTTTCAGCCCACATTTACAAAAAAGACCTTCTGGAAACTCTCTTAAATCATTCTCATTAGAACGAGCATGTTTCAAACTCCCTAAAAAAGTATGGTTGGTTTTTCATCACTGACATATAAAGCCCTAAAAATAGCGACAAAATCGAGGATGTTGCTATGGCAACGTTACATGAATTCTATTATTTTTTGTCTTGTTTGTTTTATATAGACATCATTACTACTATTCTATTGCATTGGTCCATGGTAATATTGTCACTACCAGTTCAGGCACTTGAACTAGCAACTCCATCGCCATAGGGTGCACACCCAATAAGCGTGCAATGCAAAAAACATCAACGTCCAGAGATATAAAAAGCCAAACTTTAACATTTTTTTAACTGAAATATTTTCAGCCAACTTTGCTCCAAAGTATCTAGATGGAGATTGCTCATGAGAATGTTTTTATTATTTTGTTTAATAGTGCACAAAAAGTTGTACAAGATGGCCAAGTTTTGTTTCTCACAACAAAACATTGCTGAAGATGATAGATCTCAAAGTTGCTAGAACCTTAGAGTTTTACTGTAGAAGATTGCGATATGTGGTGAAACAAATGACTATATCTCTGCAAGTATTGCATCGGCAAATGTAACACTGTACCAATATTCATTGGGGACATGAGTGCATGTTCACACAAAATTTCATTGAAATCTGTGAGGGTCGAGCAGGGACTCCCAGACCACTTGACATGGAATGACCCACGAATATTGCAGGTACACTATATTGCCAAAAGTATCCGCTCACCCATCCAAATAATCAGAATCAGGTGTTCCAATCACTTCCATGGCCACAGGTTTATAAAATCAAGTACCTAGGCATGCAGACTGTTATTACAAACATTTGTGAAAGAATGGATCGCTCTCAGGAGCTCACTGAATTCCAGCATGGAAGTCTGATAGGATGCCACCTGGGCAACAAATCCAGTCATGAAATTTCCTCGCTCCTAAATATTCCGCAGTCAATTGTCAGCTGTATTCTAAGAACGTGAAAGCGTTTGGAAACGACAGCAACTCAGCCACAAAGTGGTAGGCCACATAAACTCGTCCAACATCAGTGTGTGACCTCACAAATGCGCTTCTGGAAGAATGGTCAAAATTTCTCATAAACACACTCCTGAACCTTGTGGACAGCCTTCCCAGAAGAGTTGAAGCTGTTATACCTGCAAAGGATGGTCCGATGTCATATTGAACC